TAAAAATCTTTTTCGAAACATCTAAATATAAATTCTCTTATAACAAAATGTAGTTTAGTCTTAAGTTTAAACTAGTGTGTTTTTGTAAAGTCCCATTGGAATATATTATACGAACAAAAAATGTAAAAAAAGTACGGAATTTGACAGCAGATGTCAAATTTTGAAAAGACTGACGCCGCGGCTACATAGGGACTTCTTTGGTGAGAGCATCGATATAGTATATGTACTACACACATTGAGCTATTATGTACTACGTACTAGAGGTGACACTGCATTCAGCTACTCTGTTCCACTCAACTGTGGTGCATGCACCGCACTTTAATCAGAGTCACTCGCTAGGCGCTTGTAGGGTTGTCACGTGTTGTGTTGATTTAAAAAAAGTCTCTTGATAAAAATATGCCGTCGTGTATACTTAGATATCGCGCAAATAATTCAATATTCCTAAGACGCCATCTTGTGTCATGTAATATAGATTATGTAATTAATTTGTTCAGATGCGACATTTCTGTGGATACTTAAGTATAGGATGAATATATTATTATACACATTTTTTTTGTAGAAACATGTATGAGTTATCATAATTGGACCAATTTTTTATATTTAAATCTGCTCGTTATTCTTTTCTATTAAGTCAAAGTGGAATAAATTCGTCCATTTTTAAGTCTCGTGTGCCCAGCATTTATGAACGACTCTTATTCTAATATAAATAAATATATTTGTAATGTAAATTTTATATTAATAAGTTTTGTAAAATATACATTTAGTATGTTTTTTATATTTGACATAGATACCTTTTAAAATATTCAGATAAAAATATCATTAAAATGTAATTGTGATATAATATTATGTAATATAATATTAAATAAGCAAATATAATATACAAAATGAATGACAAAATTTGAAAATTGTTCTCGATATAATTTAGCTATTTAACAATACAATCTATTATTACCTTCTGATCATTCTACCTATGTTTATTCTATGATAAAAAACTAACCGCGCACATGTTTTGTTTGAAATAGCTGTTCTAGTAAATAAGTATATATTACAATATCAATGTGTGTAGTACACTAGATATGGCATTCCGAACACTCACTATGAACTGTACTGCAATCCGTACACCTGTTATTGTGGCTTCGATATTCATGCAATGCGGAGCGGCGCTAATAATAATTTTATATTAAATTAGCACATATGAAAAATAAACGAAAATTAAAAAAATATGGTCGATTAACAATCTAATCTAAATAAACAATTATTTATTATGACAATTTTCGGGCGTTTATATGAACTGCGCATGCGCGACTCTACTGTTTCCCGCGCATGCGTGGGTACAGAGTGTAGTGCACATTTTTTGTTTGGAATAACTTCTCTAGTACGTAGTACCTACACATATATCTCAACGGGTGAGAGGCTCTTCTTAAAACCATAACTATCATAATTTATGTTTTATTATAAGACCGATAATATACGCTAATTAAGTTATAATGCGTATTTATTATTCACGAAATAAAGGTACCCATTTTAATGCCCTGCCATTTGCAACGCCTGTTTCAATTTATTTTAAATACGTTTAATTTACGCGGGGAAAATTGTTTAATGACAGACCACACTGCGTTCGAAAAAAAAACATTAAACTTACCAGTGTATTTTTTAATTATTCATTAATTTAAAAACTATCAATAAAACATCATTAAAACTACTTTTACGGATTTTATCGCGTTTATTTTTACTTTTTATTTTTAATTCCCGACGTTTCGGGCGCTTTCCAGCACTCATGGTCACGGGGGCTGAGATGACTGACGTCCCTATGTCATTGTTAAACCCGGAGTACCTTCAGCTTTTTTTTAATTATTGTTTATGGTCCGATCTATGCAAAATGATCTGACTATGTCTTGAGTTCTTGCAATTAGGACCCGCGTAAAAGAACATATAGCTGATGTGAAGCATCAACGTTCCGGGAAGTCTGCAGTTTGTGATCATATCCTAGACGGCCCCAAACATTACATCAGATTTGATAGACCACAAATCCTCGCGAAAGAACACCGATTCCTACCAAGGATGATACGTGAGGCTATTGAAATTAAAAAACATCCTAATTTCAATAGAGAAGGAGGCTGGGTACTACCAATAATATACAAAATAAATGACAAAATTTAAATATTGTTCTCGATATAATTTTACTATTTAACAATACAATCTACTATTACCTACGGATCATTCTACCTATATTTATTCTATGATAAAAAAACTAACCGTGTTAACACAGAGTAGCGCACATTTTTTGTTTGAGATAGCTGTTCTAGTACGTAAGTAAATATTACTTCAATGTTTGACACCGATTTCTCGAAACTGACCGAATTGATTCAAAACGTTCTTTTCTTAATAAATATGTAATATACTTCCATATAAATTAAAAAAAAAGGGTCGAAACTGGAATGAAGGTTTTAATGATATATATATATATATATATATATATATATATATATATATATATATATATATATATATATATATATATATATATATATACTATACTATGAGAAAAAAAAACTTACCTACAGCTTCAGAAGTCTATGCTTTACTCCTAATTTTTTGATGCACTATATCTTACCATCGACTTTATGTACACAAACTGCGTACAAAAAACAGAGTTTCTTTCTTTAAAGCTTTATTTTTACTTCTATTGTATTGTTTCGTCATTAGTGACTTTAGGAACCAGGACGTGGTTCTTCATCGCTGTCCGCGTGAAGTCGCACAGCGAGTCATGATTTATAAGTTCAACATTCGTTATTTATTTCTCGCAGAAGCATGAGAAACGTGGAGAAGCGGCTTTAAAAAACATACAGGGAATTATCTGATTATTGGCAGCAACAATTATCAAAAACCTACCCGTTTTAAAAGGAAACGTTTGAGTGCGCTGTAATTGCGTGCCTAATGCATTTATTGCGACGAGATAATTGTAATTATCTAATTAATCTAAAAAGGTCGTTAGTACTTCATTAGTTCAATTTACGTTACGTCTCCCCAACGGTTGTTAGTTCTTCGAGCTATACCTATCCGACTATTTCTGATTTGTTGTGCTTGTTTGCTGTTAATACGCAGGGTACGAATTTTATTTAAGACAAAAAAATATATAGAACTTTTAATAATTAGCTGAGTTAACAACACAACACACTTAAAATAGAATAATCATAACATTACCGAGCTAAAACTGATTATCATCAAAAACTCCCAACAAAATAAGTAGGTACCTAGTTTAAAACCAAATTATTAACATTCTAATTTTCTACGTTTCAAAATCTAAAATTACCACAAGAACTATAATTTCGTCATTCCAGACGTACTCTATATTTTACTTAAACGTCACTTTATTATCCTGTGTTTATCCATTTTGAAGAATTAGAGAAAGAATCTTTTTCATTCTAATTGTAAGGTTTGTAAAAAATTGCCCCCGACGCGCCGACGAGGGCAAACGACAATTTAATTTTCCCCAGAAACGGATAATGATATGGCAACACCGCCGTTTATTCGAGTTACACGCCGTAATCGAGTGACAAACGATTTTAAAAGGCGACATTTAAGTCTGTTGTGTGACGCACCATACCAAAAGTTAAGTCTTACTTACGGTCGATGATACCATCTCCAAAAACTTTTGTTTATTTTTTATTTGTTACAATTACAAGTTTGTAATTTAATCGCGATTTTGACATTTTAAATATTTATAGCAGAATCTTGAAATTAGTACAAAATAAAGCTAAAATATATGTTATAAATGTAGAATAAAATGTTAAATCTAGTTCCCCTGTGCCCCAAGACTTAGTCGAATACAACTACAATCAAAAGTTTAAAAAAAGCAATCCTTGAATTTATGTGCCGTAAGTATTTAAACATGCAACCGTAGTAAAATTCACTTATCGTCTCAATCATACCTACACTATTATTAAAATTTTTGTCTATTGTATCTAATGATTGTACGATGAAATAAGTAGTATGTTTATTTCATAAATATTAACAGAGTCTAGAATAAAAATAAAACATAAAAGGCTTATATATGAAACACTTATTTATTTGTAAAAGTTACACAGATTATTAATTTGTAGAAAAATAAAAATTCATCCGACTCTGAAAGGGTAATTAATATTAATATTACTAAAAATGAAACTATTTACCGTATAAAAATATAAGGGAGTGACGACATCGTAAGACATGCAAGAAGGTGATTGATGCAGGTGGCTCAAGAACGTGCTTTGTAGTATTCCTTGGTTCAGGCCTATGTTCAGCAGTGGACTTGTGAAGGGCTGTAATGATGATGACAAAATTATGAAACAATTTTTTTATACAAGTGCAGCTTAATTTGTCCAAACTTAAGTTAATTTAACTTTGACAACACGAGCCGGCCCTGAATACTTACCAAATGAATAGTAATTTAGTTTTCGGATTAAATCGTTTCAAACACGCGACACAAACCACTTTTCTATTCCAGAGTCGACTTGAAACCGTCATTTTACACAATTTTACCCAATTGCTCTCCGTTCTCGGAATTAATTTGATATTAGCTTTTGAAAACGCAAGGTGTGGTTTTATGTTGGACCGATTGTTACGATAAAGACTCGTTTATGTTAAGTAATTTTTAAGCTTGCTCTGGACTCGATAATCTAAGCTAAGATTAGGCAAATTTAGTAATTTAATAAATGGAAGCCATCTTTAATTGAGTATTTTATTGTAAATCCTATGGTTATTATTAATAACATTACTGTGACCTTGCTAAAAGAGTTCTTATACACAAACTAGACACATTATACTAAGGAGATTATTAATATTTTATAAGCATTAGATTAAATCACCGACACGGTGCATATCAATTGTAAAAATATTATTAAGGAATTAAAATTGAACTTCGATAATGAGCGACCGATGGATCACAGTTTTATTGACACTAACATGTTACATTGTTTTTTATTCAGTTTTATAATAGCATTGTATATTTATTGTTACAGGAATCACAGTCAACCAGCAATGAAAGATGGAACGGGCATGGTCCAGAACACAACATGGCTTTGCAACAAATTCTCAAACTTCAAGAAGCGAGGGCGCTCCACAAAACTTCTCTACTTCCTATTTACAAAAAGAACGGTCTTCCTTCACCACCGTCTGCTAACCAGGATTACGAGCAGGAAAATAAGAAACAAGACAAATATGCCGAACACCAAGTGTTCGAGCAGTTGAAAGTGGAAGAGGAATTTAGAAAACTGATGGAGAGATCGAGTATCGATGCTCGTAATGAGGAGTCCTTAAAATACTTCGAGCACATGATGGAAGCAAGACAGCAATTCCAGTATTTAAAACATATTCAGGAAAGAAATATGAAGAATGCCTATTCTAAGGAAGACAACTTAGGAAGAAAAGATGAAATCACACCCAATGATAATAAATTTTCACCCATTCACAAACAGTCACCTCCAAGAACATCGTCAGCGGAAATCTCACCAAACCACAATGTCCGGCTATCTACCTCATCCAGTCCCCTCTCTGCTACTAGTCCAATAAACTCGTCCCCGTTAAGTCACCTGCAAAACATGCAACCATTTGACTTTCGTAAGCAAAAATTGCCTGAAAATAACACGAAAGTAGAATCTTTAAAAAGTAATTACAATATAAATAATGCTGAGAAAGCGGCAATTGAATTAATGAGAAGCCAACTTTTCAATTTTCAATTGCCTCCTAATATGCCTATTCCGCCTATGTCTCTGCCATCTACATTTTCGCATCCCGCAGCAATGGTTGCTGCTTTGAGTCAAAATCCTATGGGATTAGCTTCTTTGCAAGCGCTATTGCCTCAAATGTCATCAAAAGTTGTCGAATCTGAAATAAAAATAAACAATGGCGTCGGAAATGGCAGAATTGATGAGAGAATCGATGAAGAAAATGTTTTAAACTTAAGCAAAGACGTTTACGCAGAAAGAACACATAAATCTAGAGACTTAATGATAGGTAAATGCTTAAGCCCACCGAAAAGACATTGGGGAGCATCTCAAATGCCTTTAAACTTAGGTACCCATTTTATTAACCCTGCTACTGGAAAGAAAAGAGTACAATGCAATGTGTGCCTCAAAACATTTTGTGATAAAGGAGCACTGAAAATTCATTTCTCAGCTGTGCATTTAAGAGAAATGCATAAATGCACCGTCGAAGGTTGCAGTATGATGTTCAGTTCAAGGAGATCAAGAAATAGACACAGTGCTAACCCGAATCCAAAATTACATTCACCACATTTGCGACGTAAAATATCTCCTCACGATGGTAGAAGTGCTCAAGCTCATTCTGTTCTCTTATCACAACATGGAGGGGGCTTCAATATACCGCCTGTAATCAACCCAATACATGCATTTGGATCCTATCCAGTTATAAATCCAACACAAAGCCTGCGGCCATTTTCTAATAATGTACCTTTAGATTATAAAAATAATATTAATTTACCTTCTCAATTTGATCATTCACACTTGCAGCGAGAGTCTAATTTAGAAAATAATAAAGAGCAAGACGTTCACGGTGAATCTGATGAAGATGATGGTATTGTTGTTGTAGCGGGAGACGAAGATGACGATGACAACGATCACATGGATACTAGTGATTATTATTCAAATTTAAATAAGTCAATAGGCTCTTTAGAAGATTCTGAAAATGATTTTGATCAGAGAAGTGTAAGTGATAATAATGATAATAAAGAAAAAGATGGCGTAAACAGTCCGGAAGTAATGAAAAGGAAAAGAAAAAATTTAAACCCCATTCGTTTGCACAGTAACCAAAATATTGAAATCCAAGAAAAGGTTGAAGTTGACAGGGAAAATCGTATTGAAGATGAGAATTTAATGGATCCCAAAAGAGTTAAATGTGAAGGAAAAGACATGATTGATAACTGTACACTTCTTAATGAAAATGTAGATCCAACAACAATAAAGCAAGAAATCCCTCCGATTAAGGAAGAACCTCAAGAAACAGAATATAATGCACAAGATCTACGTATTAAAGAAGAACCGAAAGAAAAAGATGATTCATATAAAACTACAGAAAATTCGCAACTAAATAACGAACATTTTTCTTCTGAGAACGCTTTAAAAAGATTAGAGAGCTTATCGAAAGGAAATTTTCCAAACGCAGCAAAAAAGATTGAAAATCACAATCCATTAGCCCCCTACAATTTATCAATGCATGATACTGTGGAATATTCAGATCGATCTCCCTCTTCATCAGTATCAAGTTATGATTACGTAACAGATGATAGCCACTGTCAAATTTACGGTCACTTTGACAATGGTTTCTTTGTAGTTACCACCGATGTTCCAACTGATCAAGAAAATCCACTAAAATGTACAGTTTGTGATAAACTATTTCAAAACAAATACATTTTGAAAACGCATTACCAAAACTCGCATTTAAAAGTAATGTATAAATGTAGTAACGAAGGCTGTAGAGCTTCCTTTTCGACAAAACCTAGCAGAGATCGACATAGTTGCAATATTGATTTGCACAAAAAGATATTTTCAATATGCGGGAAAATATCTGATGAGTATCCGCTGAAAACGTTAGAAAAGACTCGCGAGCAAATGGAATTAATATCGAGATTCAATGAAGATGAACGAGTCGTACCATATATAGAATCGCACAAATATTATCACGCGAAAGAATCTGAGAAGCCAAAAAATCATTTAAGTCAACACATGCCGTTTGGGGTACCTTATCCACCTTTGCAACTGCCGGAGGCGTATCTAAACGGTCGTGATATGTTTGGTCAACAACCTTTTCTGTTCACACCATTTGGCATGTTACCGAATTTCCCCGCCATACCGTTTGGCTTCCTCCCCCCTAACTTAAGTCCCTTTGGTTGTGAACGTCAAAATTACTCAACACCTATGTTTCGAAAGTTAAACTATTGCATAGAAGATGAAGCGCCTCGACCCAATAAAGACGGATTATATCCATGTAGGGCTTGCCGGGAGTTTTTCAAAGACTTAATGGGTTTGAAACTTCACTGTGAAAACGTCCACGTCCAGTCTTTACACAGATGTTCAGTGACCGGTTGCAACGCTGCTTTCTTTTCGAGAACTAAGAGGAACATTCACACTGAAGCTCACGTTAATTCACGACGTCAGAACGGTAGAAGTGTCCCACTTGTGAATTCAACGTGACCTGATTAAGAAAACCAGTGCTTATTGACAGTGCGTACCCCAGTGTATTTGTGATGATTTAGAGTAACCAAAAAGTATTGACATTTCTATGATAAGTAATAATTTATCTGTACAATATTATGACAGTACCTTTAATTCTCATTGAATGGATATTGTTTAAATTGGAGACTTGCAAAACGTTCTTAATTATTAATTAAATCAATAGAAACATATTAAACCATTGTCATTATACTTTGTTGCTATCTAAGGCTGTGTACATATTATTTGATATGAATTGCTATGTAGAAAATTAGATCATAATGTATATAAAATTTCAACATTCCATAATAGTAATTGTGCAATAAATGTATATAATAGATAATAATGTATAGTCTCAATTAAATAATTAAACAAACGAAATTAGTAGTTCAATGAAGGTCAAAATATGTCATTACCGTTCAAATTATTAAAATATATAACTTATTAAAAGTATTTGTGAAAAGATAATTGTATTCCAAAATATGATCATATCTATTGATTTTTGGTGCTAAACTACATAAAATGTTTCATGTACTTCCTGAGTAGGTACTCCCCGTTCGGTCTCTAAAAATGTAAATGTTTAGTTCGTAATCTGTGTGGTTTTGTTAAAACATAAATAATACGTAAGAACCTAAAAGTATTATATATACGTAGACAATGGACGTGTAAGATTGTATGAGAATAATGAAGCATGTTTTACTTCCTTTTGCCAAAACAAACATTCTAAGTATAAAATAAAAAGTTTGAAAATTTTAAGTGACTTTTTAATCTCATCGCATATTATATTATTACAGCACTCTAGTGTGTTTTAAAATAAGCGAATACTTTTAGTCCGTTTGGATAGAGTAAGCAAACAGTGCTATTTTCCATCTTTTATTTTTTAACGTATCAACTGTCCAGTATTTATATAATAATTTGTTTAAATTTTCAATAAAAATTTGTAATTTTTCCCGGAATATAATAAAATATTTAGAATCAATAACACAACAACAAGTCCCGTGAGTGTCGTAAAAGATGATATAAGGTGACATAAGGTGATAATAATGTCCTCCAGATCGAATTTCGGTCACGGCAGCCAGCCTCAACGGAGGCTAGCCATCCGCGCAGGACAGGATTATAGTGCCCAAGTGTATGCGCAAGCACAGGTGCACTCTCTATTCCCTCACTCTCAAAATCCGATGGGACGGGAAACCGACACGACCGGAGACAGATCAGGCACAGGACCAACGGCTTTTACGTAATTTCCGAGGCACGGGGGTGAGACACCGCCAACTTCCTGACTCCGGGCAGCTACTGAGAATTTCTTGACGGAAAACTCAATAATTGATTTTTGGCCCGACCCTGGATTCGAACCCAAGACCTCATGGTCAGCAGTGGAAGTAATACAACCACTAGACCAACAAGGCACTCATGCCAGAAATATCGCATAATTGACGATTAATGACGCTATCCAATAATGCCTAGCATTGGACACCCAGACCAGCGAATTTGAGCAGTTTCAAAGGTGCCAACTGAGGCGAATCCAACATACACGCAACATATATGCAAGAAATTCATCCTTGGACTATTACAAGCTTTTAAAGTAGAATAATATAAAAATCCTACAAATTTAACGGATCATACAAATTATAAGAACGCAACTCTTCCATCCACCCAATCCATTGCAGCGTATTAAAATCCACTGCTAAACATAGGCCTTGCCCATAGATTTGCTCATAGGTGGGATTTTGCCATAGTTGCCACGCTTGGCAAGCGGGTTGCCAACCGCAGTCATAATTTTGAGTTGTTGACGGGAAGATGCTGCTGCTCATCTCCTGCTTCAATTTTCCTCTGTATTTTCTGACTACACCTACGGCACTCATCAATACTACCTAAACCCGCACTATAAATGGCAACGTATACCAAACCTGTTATATTCGAGTGACGAAGGCTAGTCCTAATCTATTCCTTGTCAGTCCAATACGTTAAATACAATGCATACAAGCAAGGTTATACGTGGTAGAGCCATGCTGCAGTTATATTAGTAGTATAGTTGTAGCACTAATGGGTCGGCTCGACCGGGGAAGAACTACGCTTTCACAGAGAACCGGAGACCCTTTTTACTGGAAACGAGGCATTCCATCTTAGTTTTCAGGGGTGATAACGCATCTGCATTTTGGTTCATAATCGAGGATAAAGGTAGATGTCTATGGGCGACAGCAAACACTTACCATTAGGTGGACTGTGTGCTCGTTTGTCAACCAATCCTATGAAAAAATCTCACATCAGTGGGGATGTTTGTCACAGCTGCCACGTTTCGTAGGCGAGGAAACTGTTTTGTTTTTGTTATCCTATTAAGTTATTATCGGAAAAATGCTGTTGCCATCTTTGTTTTTTTTTTTGTTACAATGGTAAGGGGTAGTGAAAGTGGGTAGTTTATACACAGCCACTACAAGGTGTTTTTCCTTGGGGCTATGCCTATGTAGCGGCGCTGTCGTCGCCACCACAAGCGAAAACACACCGAAGCCTAAATCGCGCTATCAACATTCCGAATCAGAAACAGTATATATAGAACATCTTCGAACTTATCACATGGAGTGTCGGCCGCTCCCCAGGCAAAACACCTTGCCTGGCGGGAGATCTCCCCTTTTTCTTCCACGGCTACAGTGGTGACTAACCGACGTGATCTGAACATGCAACCAACAACCTTCGGAAACTTTAAGCTTTCATCATCGTCAAAAATACCCCACCCATTCGCGCTCGAGCAGATATCGGCTGCAGTCTTCATATCCTGCAAGCCATCTAGCTTCATAAGGTTCATCGCAGCACTGGAATAATAATGCTTCCTGTTCCTTCAAGCTACTCTCTGCGCCATACAGTGTTCGGCACGGCTCTGAGCCTTACTGCTCGCCTCTGCTTCACGGCACTCTCGCAGATTACTTGCCTTCTTCTCGACTCACCGCAGACTACAAGGCAATCTCCTGGCACTTGCACATTCGTCGACAACTCGACTGCACTATCGACCTCCGGTCTGAGCAGGGGGTGATGTAGCGGCGCTGTCGTCGCCACCACAAGCGAAAACACACCGAAGCCTAAATCGCGCTATCAACATTCCGAATCAGAAACAGTATATATAGAACATCTTCGAACTTATCACATGGAGTGTCGGCCGCTCCCCAGGCAAAACACCTTGCCTGGCGGGAGATCTCCCCCTTTTCCTTCCACGGCTACACCTATTTTCAGCGGTGAGCTGTAATAAAAACGACAAGGTAAATTCTGATATAAAATATTTATTCCTTAGTACATAAATAGTTGGCGATTACAATACCTAATCGTGTACTTTTTCCAAAAACTCTAACAACTTATAGTAAGTTGCTACTGGTGACTATTGACACCTGTAATCAACCTCGAACAAAGAACGCTACGTAGGTATGTGCTCTCACTCCGTGGACCGTGAGCGCTTTTTACAGGCCTTACTGCCTGTAAAAAGCGCTCTTACATTTGAAACAGGAACACAGCAGTGAGTTATTAGACGTGGTAGAGTCATGTTGCAGGTGTATTAGTTGTGGCACAAATGGGTCGGCTCGACCGGGGTACGAAACTCAGCAACATTAAGCTGCTATTTTATGCTGGTATTATCTGAGGACGTGGTCCTACGCCGGTCGAGCCGACCCATTCGTGCTACAACCATAATATAACTGCAGCGTAGCTGTGACACGTATGAAAAGATCCTGTGTAAATTCACTTTAAAAACGATGTAGAAATGAAGTAGCATGTAGAGTCGCTATTAAAAAGTTGAGATGGATGGTCGCAAACAATTGCTGGTGCTATTTATCTATTATCCTATGATAACATGCTGCTTGGGAGTCTTTCCTGCTCTGGTTTGCTATGCAATTATGAATCTAAGTTATATCTTTAAGACCCACGATCGCCTCACATTTATGGGAGTGGTATGAAGCAATTAGTCCACCGCAATGCCAATGACCGTTGGTGAAATCTTTTTCTTCTTCTAAATCTTCGAAACATTTTTATTCCTCAGAAATGCAAGTTTCCTTGAAATTTCTTACTTCACCGCCGGGCACAGTAACATTATCACTTCAAATTACAACATATATAAATATATATTTAAACAATTTCATTAGTGCCGGCGGGGATCAAACCCAAATACTGTGAAGTTTTACGTCTAGCGTTTGACCTTTGAGTGTCACTGCTGTACTGTCTAACATAGATTAATTTCAAAATACTTCTAGTTTATTCTTAAGCCTTCATGTTTAACCAATGAGTTTATATTTTATATTTAGAACTATTATTATTGCATTTTACTTTAACCTTTTAAAAAATAACAAAAATTAAAAAGGTCTACATCTGTCTTTAGAATTTTTGTCCTCATTTCTTTTTCAAGGAAACTTGATTCCAATAAAATGTAATAAAGATTATCTAATTTCTAACCTTTTTTGTATTTTTTGGTAGATTTTCTCAAATGTACCATGTTAAGTAGTAAATTTAAATATGCATTGAGCATACTACTGTATTTAAGTAGATTTTAGCATTTTAACTACTTCTGACTTAAAAAGTGGTAAACCTACCAAAAGCACAAGGTGTGCAGTTTTAAATTAGACGATCTTATCTTGCTTAATTTTGTTAAAAAATTACGAGACAAATTTTAATAGTTTTTTTATAGGAATGGGTGACTAACGAGCACACAGTCCACCTGATGGTAAGTGGTTGTTGTGGTCCATTGACATCTACATCTATACTCGATTACGAATCAAAATGCGGATTCGTTGTCACCCGTTAGTACTTAGATGGAATGCCTCGTTTCCAGTAAAAAGGGTCTCGGGTTCTCTACACTCACCATACGAAACACAGCGGCATTAAGCTACTATTTGACGCTGGTATTCTGTGAGAGCGTGGTCCTTCCCCGGTCGAGCCGACCCATTCATGCTACAACTATACTGCTAATATAACTGCAGGATGAACCATGCTGCAATTATGCTTGTTTG